GTAAATGAATCTTTACAGGCGAGCTGGAAGTTTGTGGGGTGAGCGACGCAGGAGCAAACCCCATATTCCAGTGAGCCTAGTAAAGATTAATTGCAAAGCGTGACACGTACAAACTTTTATTTTCACCTTTAGATAACGATTTTCAAATTTAAAGTTTTAATTAATATGTCAAATGTGACATTTCATTTCATAAATTGCTTTTCTACAAGCCTGTAAAACCTTTACAGGTCTTTTAAACCAGGCTTTGTTATCTATGTTTTAAACAAGCCCGTAAAATATTACAGTTCTGTTCCCATAATGTATCGTTTACTTGGTTACAAAAACCACAAAATTAACCTATAAAATGTCATTTACTAAGAAGGTGGAGATAAATGTTTTTTAAAAACCTACTTACGTTTATTCAAATAAATAAATATTACAGTATTAGGCACATTTTTATAAATATTTATACACATACAGGGTTGCCCTTCGAAAACAGTCCAGCAAGGTTTACGGCTTTTTATCTGGACTCGTGTATTTTTGTTAGGTTGGTGGCTTATGCCAGTTTGACTTAGTATTTTTAGTATTTAAAAATGGTATTTCTGCTAAAGAATTTAATTAAATACTTTGACACTGTCAAATTGACAATAATATTTATTATAGATAATTTACTTGTCAATTATAAATAAAAAGATAATTATACCAAAAATAATGGCAACGAATTCGAATGTAAAAGCCCTTTTAAGGGCAAAACTTCATTTTGATGAAATTATGCCAAATGCTACAATGGTTTTATAAATATTACATCATACATTACGAGTTTTATCTTATATTATACCAATCGGTTTTAAAGGCTAAATATGAACTACCCATTCAAACCAATTAAAGTCAATTCTATTCCCTATTGATACCAATATTCAAATACCAGATTCAAACCCATACATTAAAACATAAATTTCTATTGTTCTTAAAGAGGGATTTTTGGCAGGGTATACATTATAATTCTTATTGGCTTTAACAAAATACCTATTCACCATTGGACAACATTTACGTTCACAAAAAATTTTAATTTCTTTTATATAAATTCTTTTCAAAGCGAAGATTATTATCCGCTAGGAATACTTTCTCTTCTGTGCCGTAAAGCAACTTATATTTAACTACTTTTTTTATATGATTTTACTCATCCAAGCACCACCAAAGCCAAATTAATTGAATTTTTAACTACGAATTTCGACAACTCAACTTGACAACTGCACAATGTAACCTACAATAATTTATACATAACCACAATTAGATTTATAACTAGCTTAGTTTGTTTTAATCAATGCGACCAATTTTGGTTCTTTATTTACCAACCAAAACCCTAAATTTGCAAGGCTGCCGCAGTCCAGATAAAAAAAAGAACTTTATGTGAAAATAAAAAATCTTCGGACACGTATACCTACTATTGTTTTCAAGGGGACATATTTACACATTAATTTCATCACTGTAACTGTAACCCCTAAGCTGGGGCGGCATTTACCCTTAATTTTTCAAATGAGGAGGCGTTTGTTGTGATACATCTTTTGAAAGGGCATTACATTTATCTAAATTAGCGCTTCCTTTTACAATTTGTGCTGCGTGTTGCCGAGAAATTTAATTTAATTGATTATAATCTATAGTACTTACGTATTATCTTATTAACTGTTAAAATTTTTTTAATAAAAATGTCCGTCGTTCACCTCCATACAATAGTACAGCAACTGTTCAAAGTGTTCCCGGACATTGTGAAGAATATCGGATCTAATTTGTTGGCATTAATTAGGGATGCGGTTCCGTAAATCTACTAAGGATTCAAGCTGTGTGGCATAAATTTTGGATTTCAAATGTCCCCACAAAAATATATCAGGGGGAGATGAATTCGGTGATCTCGCGGGCCATTCGATAGCACCCCTTCTCCCAATCCATCTACCAGGAAACGTTTTATCCAGAAACTGCCGCGGCATGCCGTATAGTCTTGTTGAAATATCGGATTTTCTTCATGGTAACGTTTGCCGTTTTCCATAATTTCGGCACTCTCTGACAAGTCTGCGTAAGTAGCTCCATTTAAATTTCCTGGTAAGACAAATGGTCCAATTATGTGATCACTAAAAATACCAGCCCAAACGTTTACTTTCTGAGGATATTAAGTATGAACCTTGGATTCGTGTCGGACCAATAACGACAATTATGACGATTGACAATGCCATTGGGAAAAAATAAACATTCGTCTGAGAAGCAAACATTAAAAAGGTAGTTGGGAGTATTTATAACTATTTCGGACATAATTTCACAAAATTGTAAACGGCGGTCATTATCATCTTCCTGAAATTCCTGAAGAAGTTGAATTCGGTGCTATTTATTATGCTTCATAATTCTCTGTACGGTGGCCCGCGAAACTCCCGGTAGATCAGAAAGTTTTATGGCACTTAATGTAGGGTCCAAAGTAATTTTACCCAGAACAGCTACTTCTACTGCCTCATTACTCACCGGATTTTCAATATATCGTTTTTTATTTGCCACTGAACCAGTTTGCCGGAATTTTGCTACTAATTCTAGGATGTACGTGTCTGTTTGCATGCCTCTCAATAAACAAAGTTGCCGTTACTCTTGCATATTCATTGTTTATAAAATACAATTCAATAATTTCCACTCTCTGCAATATAATTTTTTTTATCGAATCGATAGAAATAAAAGCACAGAAATAACATAAATTCGATTTGGCGACTGATATTTGTTACTTTAAAAACAATTTTTTCAACGAATTTTTTTCATTACGAAATTTGTAAATAAGCGGTCCAGTAAAATGTACGGAATTCCATTGCTCGCCGACGCGTAGCTCAAATTTGCAAAACGAAGCGCCATTTTAAAGAAAATTTAATTCCCTTTTCCCATTTGAAAAAAATAAGTGTAAATCCAGCCCCCGCTAAGGGGTTAAAGTTACAGTGATGAAATTAATGTGTAAATATGTCCCCATAAAATCAAAAGTATACGGGTATACAAAGCATGCAGTACTTTTTTCGATGGGCCACCCTGTATATAATACATAATACCTTTAGTACATACTTAATATTTTAAGAATAATTTTACAAATCAGCAGATGGTCTCGGAAATTTTACTTATTTTATTCTACTTTTATTTATATTAATTACTTTTTCTACTCCCACCTTTAAAACGCCTTTTATCGTACATGTTTCCATGACACTAAGTGACCTTTTAAATACACATTGACAAGTTGTGGCTTTATGGCGCTTTAGTCACGGGCTGAAGTTAGTTTTAAGTTAGTTGACAGTTGTCAAATGTCATACAATCGTTAAAATAAAGTGCCTTTCTTGTAAAATAATACTAAATGTGAAAATTATTTTATTATTTCAATACAAAAATACAAAAGTATTAAATAGTTTCTCAACGGCAATATTTGAAAAGTTTATATGAACATTGTACTGACCTTTTAATTTCGCCGGCAATAAACTATAACTTAAATTCGGGCACGCACTACACTGTAAAGTGCTCATAAAACATTTTCTTTACTTTCACTGTGAAAAACTGTCAATTTTCAAGAAATACATTTCGATTTATTACCTTTATAATCTGGGTTTATAAAATACAAAAATTTGACATTTGACGGTGACACACAGATTCCCCTATTGTTTCATAGATGGCGCTCTGTACAAATTTTTTATTTAAATCATTTTAAGATAATAAGTATTTTTCGTAGAAAAAGTATGGTATGCACCTCATTTATAAACTTTTCTATACACTCATTAATTTAAGCACTCGCTCGCAAGCTCGCTCATGCCTAAATTAAATTCGTGTATAAAATGGCGTTTATCAAACTTCATACATAATATACTATTATACTACTACTTACATAACATTTTAAGCATAAACATTTATATAACAGATACATAGGTACTAACATAAATTAACCATAGATCCTATAGGATGTTATAACAGTCCTAAATTTTTGATATAATCAAGAGAAATGATTTTCATGTTTCAGTTTTGGTGATTTTTTATTTTATGTTTGAATTCGTTAATCTTGGTGGTATTTTTTATTTTGTCTGGTTGGTATTTTAATTTTTTATACATTTAATTAACATTGACATAAACAAAATTGGGATTTTATCTTATCAAAAATTAGGAAAAAAATAAATCGATTTTAGAGAAAAATACCTTTATTTTTAATTTTTAAGAAAAAGTTCTTTATAATTAAAAACAAATTCTGAATAGAAAATTTACAATGGAAATTTTGATTTTTTTTGTTTTTCCAGGATTGAGTGAATTTAAATTTTTAGTTTTAATATTAGAAGAAAAGTAATTTTGATAAAATGTTTTGATTGTCAAAAAACAACATTCACGTAAACAAATATTCAAAATATTCCCACCAAAACAAAACACTGCCCGAGCTAATGCGACGATGGGACTTTTATGTGGTTTTACCACTATCAAGTAAGTTTTAAATAACATATCTAATAAAACGGATCAAAAGGTTTGGGTGACATATATAATAACAAGGATACCAAGGTAGAGAGTTAAAAACGAGATGAATATTGTGTGAAACTAAATTCTAGAACTCTTGCCAGCGACTAACATTTCGATGCAGTTGTCTGATTAAGACCTTAACACGGGATAACTGATTGTGGAGACAACAATTTTAATTTCAGGTGTTTATTTTCATAATTGATCAATTATCACATTATCAATGTGAATGTTCTGCCTGCATTAGCTAAACGCATCAAAGCATACCATCAAGTGACCAATGCTTAAAGAAAGAAAAATTAAATAATTATTGTAATAATTATATCCGGTAATAAACATGTCGTGTGAGATATAGAAGCCATATTGGTTGGGATTGGGATTCCGAGGTCTGGTAAAGCGTGTATTACAAAGGACAAGAGAGAACAAATCGTCGAAAATAATACAATAACGATATTATTCATCTATATAATGTGGAAAATATAGAAAAAATATAAAAAACACGACAAAAATGTAAAAATATATCAAGAAGAAAATATTATATTCATTAATTTTTCCGACAGGATTTCGTACCTATCTAGAGTGTGCTCAAGGGGGGTCAATGTTTCATCAATTCGGTGCATTATTTGCTGAAGATCCTGTATGAGTTGCATATGGTGTTTTACTTGTCTATCTTCGTTGGAGTCCTTTATACATTTTGTTGCTTCTTGGATGTACTTAAAACAGTCCCGATACGATTTTTCGATTTGTTTATAATATTCTCCTGTCCAATACTCATGAGTTGGCTCGTTGATTTTAACGATTTCAGCATGTGTCCAATATTCTTCCAAAGTATTGACGCGAAGATTGAAGTATTCGGCTGACTTTCTTGCGGCCGAATCCTTCTTCATGTTACTGTAGAGTTGTAGGATGCCCTCCCAATGACTTGTCGCTTGGCCACCAGTTCGGTCATCTTTGACTTTGGGGTTGTCATCTTGAGTTGTGGATCACTGACTCGTTCCGTTAGTGAACTGTTTTTTCGTGTTTACGCATGATATTTTTGTAAAATCATGCAAATACGGTTATAAAATGCAGTGATTGTGGATATATAACTGTACCCAGGCTTGCACTGGTATAATTTTATGGCTCGAAGGACAATGTAAAGATTCGGATCTTATTTGTGATCTCGATCTTTATGATATTGACATTACTAGCAGAGCGCAGCCTCACGCTTCAGTTAAGGCTTGGAAACTAGTGGTGTATTATCTTTGGTGTGATTGAGTAAAACACAGGGATGTTTAATGTTATTACTTATAATAAAACATTTCAACGTTATAACGTCCTTGATTAAATAACTTTATTTTTATTGCTGATGCAGGTCAACTAAATAACTATTGTTAAATCTAAAGATTAAACCCACAAAATTAATGTCTTACGATACATTATCAATTAAAAAATATTCATACGATACATTATCAATTTAAAAATATTCATTTTTTTATCTGGAAAGTTTGAATACTTTTTTGCATTTTTCTCATAACTACTGTTGTGTAACATGTCCGCTTTTGGTTCTACAAGACTAACATAAAATATTTTATAATTGACACTTTTCTTAGGTTCTCTGCAGTTTCCTCCAGGAAGCTCTCCCCTGGTGTCTAGGATGTCAATTTACAGCGGTCCTAGCCTAGACCAGGCGGTGGCTCCCGAGTTGCCCCTATCTTGCTACCATGGACAATTATACCTCCAAAAGGCGGAGGTTATCAGGGGCGAGGGGTACACCAAGGGGCTAAGATTAATCCTTCTAACAGGTAAGAGCAATATATTTTTTTAATTTTCATTTACCTAATGGTAAAAATATTATTTCAGTGCCTCTTTCTATTTACTTGCCCAGAAAAAATTGTAAGTTAGGGAATATTTTTAATTTTGAAGGATTGTTTTACTAACATTTCCCCCTTGTTTTTTATTAAAAGTCTTAGGTTTGCCTAAACCTTTTTTGAAAATCTATTAAAACGAAATATCCTAAAACCGTATTAAAAATGCCCTTAACTGCCTATTATACCTACATTTTATAATCAACAATCGTTTTACTTAATAGTTAAACAATGTTTTGATATTTATTTTTAAGGTAATAACAATCGAAGAATAGACTCATCTAAGCTTCAATTTGAAAGGAAGGTGCTTTTGGGACATTCTGCGCAAGACGTAGCTACCGCTCTGGGCGCCCCTTCCAAAGTAAAATAATAACTCAAACACTAAACATACAAAATTAAAAACAATTTTTGTTAGGTTTTCTTTAAAAGTGAAGATAAAATGAAGATCCACTGCCCCAATGCTCATAGGCGCGTTTCAGCTTCAAAAAGCGATTATTTTTTCAATTATTTTACCCTAGGACTGGACGTCCTATTTGACGCACGCTCTCATTTAGCTAAAAAGGTAAAAAAATAAGTTCTAATATAAAAAATGCTTAGTTCAGTTTCTACTGGTCGACATCCATTTTACTACAGGGTAAATTTGGGTGAGCTGATTCCAAAAATGACCATTATTTTGCTCAATCAGCTTTTGTTTTTGCGATATTGCGAAAAATAAAAATAAACAACAGGCTATTTTTTTAGTTTGTTCTTCATACAAACTACCCGGGTCACTACAACTTCAACATGTACATGCGCTGCGAGTTTGAAGTGCCATTATCGGACATGGAAGGCGCCACTATCACAGCGTATACCCATTGGGAGGATATCTGCAAAAAATTGGTACCAAGTGATAGACCAGTGGTCCTGAACAGGGCCAGCTCTACCAACACCACCAACCCATTCGGCAGCACGCTGTGTTATGGGTACCAAGATATAATTTTTGAGGTAAGATAGATTTTATATTTTATATAATTATTATACAGGGTGTCGTAAAAAAAGTGTAAAAATTGCAATTTTTTTAATTACTAAGCATTTTACTTTTACAAATTTGGCAACTGCAAACCCCCAATTATTTACAAATTTACTTTTAATTTTTGGGTGTTTATTACTTTTTTTTACATTTGTTATACATAATATCAAAATGGATTGTAAATGAATGAATTATTCATGAATTTGAAGATAATATTGAAAAACTAATTATTTTACTAAATGGCAAATAAACAAAACAAATTTTACCACCTTATTTTTTATAGAATTTGTTTTGGTTTTAATTTAAAAAAATTGATAATTACAAAATTACATATTTTTTTTAAAAGCGTGCTTATTGAATTTTTGTGCATAGGAAGAGAAGAATTGAGGTATAGGAAATGTACATAAGTTATATAAAAAACTATTGTAAATTCACGAATTTGAATGTATTGAAAAAATAAATATTTTACTAAATGGCAAATAAACAAAACAAAAATATAAAAAATTATAAAATATCAGGCCGATTTTGATTTTTTTTACAAAAGAAGAGAAGAATTGAGGTTTAGGAAATGTGAATAAATGGAATTTGTTAGTAAAAATGATATTTGTTATAAATTTTATAAAAGAGTACCTATTATATACTTAAGAATTTAAAGATAACATTGATAAAATAAATATTTTTTCTAATTTTTACATTTCTTATTATAATATGTTTTATCTACTCCTACATTGACGAGTTGTGACTTTATGACATTTTAGTCACGGGCTGAAGTAAATAACAGTGGCTTTTGGGCATTTTAGTCACGGGCTGAATTTAGCTTTATTATAAATTGCGAAAAAGTGAGGTTAAATTTGTTAAATGTCAAATTTTATGAAAATTTCAATTTAATTGTCTTTAAATTCTTATTTCTGTTCGTCGTAGATAAAGTATAGTATGCAACTCGTTTTATAAACTTCTCTAGACACTCGTTTTTATTAAACACTTGCTCGCAAGCTTCGCTCCTAATAAAACTCGTAAACTAAAATGGCGTTTATAAAACTTGTTACATAATATACTATTAAATTGAGAAGTGTCTCAGTCTTGAATTGTGGGTTACTTTTCTTTACGTGGTTCTAAGAAAAAATAGGTCATCTATGTATATAAAAACAATCGTTTCTTTCCCGTTTTTGTCTCATTCTTGTTCCGTTTCTGTTTCGTTTTTATGTCGTTCTTGTCCTATTCAGACAAGAACGGGAAAGAAACTGGACAGGAACGGAATATGAATGGAACAGGAACAGCACAAAAACAGGGCATAGTTCCTATACCGTTCTTGTCCCGTTTTTGTGTCGTTTTTTTCCATTCATGTCCCTTTTCTGTCGCATCCTGTCCAGTTCCTTTCCCCTTCTTGTCCGGTAACTGTCCTGTTCTGGTCTTGATCCCGTCCCGGTCTTGTATCGAACTGTCCCTTTCCTATTCCGTTTCGTCCCATTTCAAGACCAAAGACACCTTCATTAAAGGTCCTTTATACTAAATTCTTTAATAAAATTAGAAAATTGTTTATTTTAATACTATACTTCAAGATAGAAAATTAATAATTAAATGATTTTCAAAAATAAATAAATAAAATCTGACATCTTCCAGATTGTTAAACTTTACTTTCTACCAATTTTAAATATTATTGTAGTTGCGTTCTCTCAATTTAAAACCTAGCAATGGGAATAATAAGTTCATTGTTCCCTTTGTTAGGCGGGACGGTTATCATTATATACGAAAAAAATCAATATTAGGCAATAGGAGTAAATAAAGTATAGTGTTCAACTCATGAGAAATGGCTATCTCCATTCGGATGAAGAGCAATTGCTCTGATTATTACGGACGCGACAAAATTAATTTTGTCGCGTCCGTAATAATCAAAAATTGTGAGTAATTATTATGCTTATAAGCTTAAGCTTAACAAACATGTTTGCAATAGTATTTAATTTAATTACGGTAGCTTTTACTCACAATTTTTAATTATTACGGACGTGACAAAAATTGCCGAGTAACGTGGAATTGGTCTCCATCCTAATGGAAATAGCCATTTCTTAAGAGTTTAACACTACAATTTATTTAAATGATATTTGTTATAAATTATATAAAAAAGGATTGTAAATTTACGAATTTAAAGATAATACTGAAAATATAAATACTTTAGGGTATTTCCAAGAAACCTTACCCCACCTTGACAAAAAATCAGTTGTGTTATTTAACAAAACAAAAACTATATCTGAAGTCAAATAGTTTAATTTAATAAAAGGTTTTCTATATTGTATATACAAGTTTTTATTGACATTTTGTTCTAGTTAAATATCTAATTTTTTATACTATTTTTGTATGTTGTATCTTGATAAATCTAAACAAACAATTTATTATCATGAAAAAACGCGTGTCAGTGTCGCACCCGTTACAATGGAAATACCCTTTACCAAAAGGCAAAAAAAACATAAAAATTTAAAAAACCTGTTTTGTTTTACTTCCAATTAAAAAATTATAGAAAAACATAATTTTTAAAATAGTCTGGCAAATTTCTAAATTAGTGTTTTAAAAGCCTGTTTTTTTTAATTTTAACAAAAGAAAATAATAAATATAAGCTACTCACCATTTTTATAGGTTATGCCAAATCACTACATAGCCTCCTTAAGCTTGTATGGTGACGGAAAACCTTTTCAAAAAGAGCAGCAGATGGCGTGACAGAGGCTGTCGGCCACCTACCTCATCCTAGAAAACAGGTACTGGCAACCCACCCTAGTTACTTAAACAAAATTCTCCAGAAAAATTCTCGCCCTGAAAAAAAAACATTTTTTTTTGAATGAAGTGAAACAGAAATGTGTAATTAGACCGACATTTTTCTATCACGACTGGATCATTCGTTTTTTGGTTTTTAAATGGATTTGTTTATTTAAGTTAAGAGGAAAATAATATAAAAAGTTTAAAAAGTGAAAAATTTGTAAAAAAAAATATCTACGCTTATTAATTGTTTTTAGTTTTTAAGTTGTGTAAGTCCAGTCCATGTATATTTCTTTGTAAGTGAAAAATATAGGGACTTATATAATTGGGCCTAATATAAGTGGGCTACTTTTAATTGTTGTTTATTTTCAAAATTTATTTTTATGTTGATTTTTACATTTTGATATAAATCCTAGAATGTTTGTATTTATTCAATTGTTTGTGTTATATTTTTTTATTAATACTAAGATTATTTTTTTATACAAGGTACACCAAGTATTCTTCTATGTATGGGTATCTTTTTTACTTGAAAAGCTACAAGGTCGGTTAAATTAGAGAAAAGTTGCGTAATTACGAGTCTGAGAAGCTCATCACACAACATTTTATCTTCAAGTCATAATTTTATTTAATAATAATAATAATAAATTTATTGTAAAATAGCAAGAAAAAAATACATTTTACAAATGGTGTGAGTTCAGCAACATGCTGTTCTACCACTGTACAATTATTATAATAATAATTATTAAATGTAGAACGTGAGGTTACAGAGATCTAACAGTAGTCTAGAAGGTAAAAAACTTTACCTGATTGGTCTCCTTATTTTTACAGCCTATGCGAATAATTAATTACTTTAGTAGTGAGTGTTGACAATAAAGTTTAAATTATGAACCCTTGAGGATAATAGTACCTATATTATTATATGAGAGATAATGCATGCTAATATTTTATTATAATTAAATAATGCGCATAATCTCGAGTGTAATACTATACTAGGTATGTAATCAAATTAATAGATAATTAAATTAATTTCAAAAATAAATCTATCAGATGGTTAACATCATATTCTACCAAATTTAAATAGTGCTACTTTTCCTCACGTGATAGGCACAATTTTTTTTCAGTTTTCTTTTGTAGAAAAACTATTTTTTATACAAGCGTGCGAAAAGTTGCTACTTTCCGCAAGTATTTACTTTTCGCACTAAAACCATGTTGCATTCTATCATTGTGTCATTTTTGTAATGAAGGTAAATTTGCTTAACTTTTTGACAGCCCTAGTTTACAATGTAAAACTTACTTTTTCAAAATCTCCCAGAAACAACAAAGTTATAACGATTTTTTGTTTTGACAGGTTTTTTTTTCAAATATTATTTTAAAAACCCATGTAAATACTTTTCTCTGATACAGCCGACCTTGTACCTCTTTAAATAAAACGAAAATACCCATATATACTTGGATACTTCATGCAAGTTTATAAATTTGGTATAAAAACCACAATAGCTCATAGTGAGAGGTATTTTTTTTTAATTTTACCATATTTCTTTAAAATTGACTAACCCATTGTGTTTTTTTCGAGTACCTATTTAAGTTTAGTTTAGGTTTTTTCTAGTTTAATTAATTTAAAAAAAGTATTCTTGGTGCTCGAATTCTGCGTATTTTTGGGGGCCAGTTAAAAAATGTGTTCATTTCATTATACAGGGTGACTTTTAAGTTGACGCGTTCCTTTAAACAGCGTGTAGAAATCAGATAGACAAAATTTGTATTTAATAAATATTTTAAGTAACTTTCTTATTTTATTTGTATTTAATAAATATTAATAATAATAATGCTTTATTGAACTAAAACCAAGTTCAAAGGCTATTGACCGTAGTCCTTCAGCCAGTGAGTTTACAATAAATTTTGATATAAGTATAAATATATAATAAATACGGCTGAAGGACTACGGTCAATAGCCTTTGAACTTGGTTTTAGTTCAATAAAGCATTATTATTATTATAATAAATAATATTATATATATATATATATCTATATTTATATATATATATATATATATACAGGGTGTTATGTAATTAATGTTGTATATTAAAATGGGTTGTTCCTTAGGGTCCATAAAGAAGCACCTGAAACTTTTTTTTTCTAAATTCCAAAGTTTAAAAATAATTTATAATAACCCTTATCCTACCAAAAAGTACGCCACTGATCGACTAGGAACTTTAGGTTAATCTGGTGGATTTATTATGGTATGGTTGGTAACAACAGTGTTTCCAAAATCTCTCAAAAAAGTTGACAAACATTGTTTATAATTAGCTTAATTACAAAAATGACAAAATTAACAATGCAAATTGTCAATTTGGCGTTTTTATTAATTGTTGGTTATGTCATTTTTGTACTGAAGGTAAATTCAAACCAAATCTGTCAACTTTTATGACAGAATCTAGTGCATTTCTTTTAAATTTTAGGTTATGTTTTCAAATTGTAAATATCTTAACTAAGGGAAGTGCTTTTGGATTTATTTACACGTTTAAATGTTTAAAGTTTAACCTGTGAACTGGTCCCAATTTCATCTGAGTAAACAGAGAAAAAAACTGATGAAAAAATTAATTTTGTGGTTATGGATTTCAAATTTCAAAGGTATTATACTAAATTTTCTAATCATTGCTTAAGCTAATAGCTGGATCAGTAAATGAATACAGAAGGGTAGTAGAGCTTTAAAGGCATAAAACTTTTGTATTTATTGAGTTCTTATTTATTTTTTGCAAGAAAAATTTTTAGTAACAATTTTTTACATCTGGCAACGCATAGCTACTTTGTTGGTTGGTATCTATGTACTCACAAAATACAAGTGTGCAGAGATAAACCAAGTGTGTAACCAGTGGCGTATCACAAAAAATATAAAAAACTTCTAATGCATATTTTTTCTTTATCTTTGGAAAAATGTTTTTTTTAAATATTTTTCCTTTATTCCTTATGTCAAAAGGTATTCAGTATTTTAATATATAACATTAATTACATATATATATATATATATATATATATATTATTTGCATTTAATAAATATTTTAAGTAACTTTCTTATCAAAACTAAAAAATAAGAGAGTTATAGCCCTTCAAAGTTGAATTAAATTTTGAGCCGGTCCTGGCTATTGTTAACAAAAAACATAACCATAAAACAATAAACAATGCAAAATGTAATCTATGACAACAAACATAACCATAAGGCTTTGTTATCTATGATAACCATTTAAATCAAAATGACATTTAGCAATGAAAAATGTTTACTTAAGTTTTTTTTGTGCCTCAATTATTGTTAAAAATAGTTTATAATTAAAGCAAAAATGAATTAGTGGAAATGTTCCTAATTTATCGAGAGTGTCGTCAAAATGCAAATGCTGCATCGCGATTGTACGCCAATCGTTTCCCTGACCGGATTCATCCTCGCCCTCAGGTATTTTTGAATGCTGTTCCAACGATAAGCACTCGTGTAATCGCTTCCCAAGTTCAACTTAGTCAGACGAAAGTTTGTAAAACTCTGCACAAAAATCCGCTTCATTTTTACCATGTTCAGAGGGTTCAAGCTTTGAAGCTGAAGATTTTCCACGCAGAGTCAATTTTTGTAGCTGGCTTTTAGAGCAAAATAGAAACAATATCAACTTTTTAAGATGGATTTTGGTGACGGATCTTCATGTTTACCCGCAATGGAATAAATAATAATAAACATGTTTGGGGTGTAGACAATCCTAAAGCTGTACTAAGAACAAATTTTCAAGATCGTTTTTCCGTTAATGTGTGGGCAGGCATCATAAATGGCATGTTAATTGGACCATTTATTTTACCAAATCGTTTAAACGGCGATGATTACCTCCATTTTTTGCAAAATATTCTTCCTGTTTTGCTGGAAGATGTACCTGAAAATGTAATACGCAACATTTTAGGCGTAAAGTTAAATTTAATATTGTATTTATAGTGTCATATTAATTTACGCTGTGTCTAGTCTCACGCTAGCGTGAACGCAATTTTATTCTTATTCTCACGCTAACGTGAACGCAATTTAATTTTTATTCTCACGCTAAAGTCAAAATAATTTTAATTTTATTATCATGTTAACTTCGTATATATAAATACAGATTAAAGCCTTTTTGTTTTTGGTTAAACCTAAGGCTGCCAACTTTGCCCAGGGGTGGTTTTAGAAATCTACTGAGAGGGGGGGGGCGAAAATAGAAAAAGCCTATCTGTAGTGGACATAATTCTGCCAGCATTATTTTATTTAATTATACTTTTTAGGTGTCGTGTCATTTGATTTGATTATTATTTGATTATGTCATTTGATTTGATTATGTAAATGTAATAAAATTTACTAATAATAAAAATCGAGACTCTTTTACTGCAGCCAAACCAACCCAAACTCAACAACACAACCCAACTAAAATTTGCAAAATGAACGATTTTCCAATAGGTAGTTAGTTTTAACTCATCATTATTGTTGTTTTTGTCCATGGCAATACATTTTACGTACAGGGTGATCCCCTATAATGTCGCCCCCCTTTAACTTTTTTATTTTAAGTGTCCCAAAAAATTAAAAGTGTGGTTATGTAGGAACTAAAAAATACTTTTTTTCTACGTATAAAGAAAATTGGAAAATTGATCAGTATACAGGGAAAAACAAAAAGTTAATTTTTTTTCAATGGATCACCCTATATATGAATTTATTTTTTGATTCCTTGTAAAATTCTAAGCATATTTCATATATCATACCATATACCTAAATTCAACCGTTTCTGAAATATTTAAATTATTTTTAAGATAATAAGTTGAAATAGTTTGTCTTTCTCTGTCTGAGTACGCCATTTTTACTTATTTAACAACACTTATTGACATAATGTCACTATAGTAATTTATTTTCAATAAAAATTTTGGTATACTGAGGCTTCTTGATTTTTAACAGTTTAAAAAAACATTTAATGATGACATTTCGAATGCGAATATTTCAGAAACGGTTGAGTTTAGGTATATGGTTTGTATATTAATTATGTTCAGAATTTTACAAGGAATCGAAAAATAAATTCAAATATAGGGTGATCCATTGAAAAAAAATAAACTTTTTGTTTTTCCCTGTATACTGATCAATTTTCCAATTTTCTTTATACGTAGAAAAAAAGTATTTTTTAGTTCCTACATAACCACACTTTTAAATTTTTTGGGACACTTAAAATAAAAAAGTTAAAGGGGGGCGACATTATAGGGGATCACCCTGTACACTTGTATCAGGGCAGATTTCACAAATCGACCAAACCGCCTGCCAACGTTTAAAAAACCTCAAAACCGCGAAAATTAGATTCACAGAACAAATTAGATTCTTGAAAGAATCTTAGGTTATGTTACCTTTAGTGACGTCACCGCGTGAGAATAAGAATAAAATTGCGTTCGCGCTAGCGTGAGACTAGACACAGCGATTAATTTAACCTGCTCATTATTTACCAAGTAAACATAACCTAACTTTAACTTTATATGTACTTTATAAATACAAAGTGACTAGGGGCACGCTAGCGTGCCCCGATTCAAAATGTTACAGGCACGTTAGTTACGTCATAATAATAATCCGGTTTTGTTCCCCGAACTTATAATATTTGTTGTCAAGCTAGATAGCTTAGATGGTAGGGCGGTTGCTTGGCATGAGAGAGGTACCGGGTTCAATACTCAGAAGTTGTCAAAATTTTTTTATTTTTTTATTTCATAAATTTGTTGCTTTTATGTTAAAAAGTGTTCGGTTGGGTTGGGTTTGTTGGTTTGTTTTGGTTATATCGTAACATAGAATCTACTAGAAGTCGGACTCTTTTTATTTTTTATTTCATAAATTTGTTGTTCCTTTGTTAAAAACTGTTTTATTTTTATCGTAACATAAATTTGCCCATTTTAGTTGGGTTTTTTGCTCAATGGGTTGTGTTGTTGAGTTTGGGTTGGTTTGGTTTTATGACGTAACTAACGTGCCCTTAACATGTATACAGGTACAATTTATTATTATATTATTGTTGTGCCGCCAATTTTAAACTAAGCGGCACGGCAGTGATGACGTTTTTTATCTATTACGTCACTAGCGTGCCCGTAAAAAATAAATTTCAGGCACTAACGTGCACCTAGTCACTTCGTTATATTTTTCCTTTTTAAAACCTGTCAAAGAAAACTGTGCGTACCTGCCTGTTGCCATTGGGTGACCTAAAAATATATTCTGACCAGCTTGATTGACTATATTTGCATTATATTCAGTTACGTTAATACTCTAGGTACGATATATTTTAGGTTTGCCTTAAATCTACAAATTTAAATAAGTAGTAGCACAATCTTCCAACCAATGCGTGCACTGCAGGTAATCACGTGAGTCGACAGTCTATGCGTGGTTGATTAAAAATCGTTTGTGCGCAGTGTACACCATAGAAGACGTCCCCTCCTTTATCGACGCTGCCAAGCGACGCTTTTCTATCTATTATCAAATGCGGAGTTGAAACTCCTGAATATAATCTTCTTATTTATGATTATGTTTTTTGTTAACAATAGCCAGGACCGGCTCTTATTTTTGAGTTTTGATAAAAAAGTTACTTAAAATATTTATTTGTCTGTCTGATTTCTACACGCTGTTAAAAGGAACGCGTCAACTTAAAACTCACCGTGTATTAGTTTAAATGTTATATCTAAAATGAAAAACTACCACCAAAATTAAGAAACAAATTTAGTTATTAATTTTTTCAGCAATTTTAAAAACACTGGTTGCACTTTTTTCTTATATTA